CGTTGCCTACCATAACCGCCGCCATCATAGCCGCTGCCATCTGCCATAACCATCATCATAGCCTTCATCATTTTACTATAATTGAAAAGAAAAAAAAGGAGGAAGGGAGGGGGGACGTGTGTGAGAGAGAAGAGGAGAAGAGATCAGAAGGGAGGGAGAGAGAGAGAGAGAGAGAGAGAGAGAGAGAGAGAGAGAGAGAGAGAGAGAGAGAGAGAGAGAGAGAGAGAGAGAGAGAGAGAGAGAGAGAGAGAGAGAGAGAGAACCAGAGCGTGATATGTTGAGCGGTCGAGCGGCGTGAGAAAGAGAGGGGAATAGAGAGAAAGAAATAAGAAAAAGAAGAGACACGTGACTTTTATTAGGTATTTTTGGGTTAAATGAAAATTAAATGATGTGTATCAATTTTTATTTTAAAATAGGGATGGAGTTAAAATATTTTATTTGAGTTTGTCACTCATATCTAATTAAGTTTGGTTTGAGGGGTGTGAGACATATTACCCCTAAAAGAAGAGAACCGAGTGGCAAATAATTTTTTATTGATTTCATTTATAAAAATATTTTAAAATCTCACAAAATATTTGCCAGTCAAGAATTAATAGATTTATAGATTTCAGAACAAAGTTGTTAATTAGGGATTTAAACGAATCGAGGTGATAGGTAATATTTATTTATTATGCCACAAATGCTATTCGTACAGTCGTAGATCAAACTATGTAACGAGCAGAAGTCATAATAAAAGGTTCCGATCTCAGAAGAGACGCGTCATCTATTAATTCCGGTAGTTGGGGTTGTAATCTTCAAAATAATTAAGCTTATGGTGGTTACAACTTAACTATTATTTATTTATTTTACAATTCTTTTCCCTCAAATACGTGCAATTTGAATAGTATAACAATTAATTGAATTGCAAAGCGTGGATTATAATTTAATAATCATAAAAATAATACTAAATACAAAATAGCTGGCTTTTGCTGTTAAGAATGGACATCACAAAATTGTACTTAGTAAAATATTAGGGAAAATTAAGAACTAAAGCAACCAAAACCAACATGTTTCTATGAAAATAGCTCTTCAACAACTAAAAAGCCTATTTTTATAGTATTATTATAATTGGTTTTCTTGCTTCCCATTACACTCTATTATTTATATAAAACAAAATATTATATAAAAATTCAACCAATATTGAGACCGCGTTGCTACTATTAATATTGTTTGTTACTTAATTTTTGGATAAATTACAGCCACCCCTTAGGTAAATTGTCAAATTACAAAAAAATCCCTCATATTTAGTTAATTACAACCACCTTCTTCAATTGTGAATTTTCATACACGTCCACCTTTATGGTGTCAAAATCAACAGAATCTTCTAGATTCTGCGAAATGTTCTCTAGTTTGTACTCGTTTCGTACAAAAACACAGTTTCTGATCCATCACAATTTAATATATACAAGCCAAAAAACACATCTTAGGATCATTTTGCTTCAAAATATGGAGTTCGATGGGGTAAAATGGATACAAATTGGAGAATAATCCACATAATCTAGAATATTCCACTAAATTTGATACCACTAAAGTGGACGTGCAAGAAGATTCACAGCTAAGGGTGGTGATTGTAATTTATCCAAACATTATTTTTTTTTCGTAATTTAACATTACTTCAGGGGTGGCCGTAATTTACTAATATATACCAAGAAGAAAGTGTAGAAGAAAAGACTAAGCCAAAGTTACATGGAAGGTTTGACCAATCTTTGTTCATCTTTGCCAACTAAATATAATGTTCCTTGTTCCTTAACAAAAGGCAATATTGGACAAAGTCAAAGTCAACTCATTATATTATTTCTGTATATATATACATGCATCATTTCTGTATCTCTTTCTCAAATAATACACATCATTACAATGGGGAAGTACGGTGCATTGTTGGATGCAGGGGTGAGAATAGCAGCGAGGTTTCATTCACACTGCCCCCAAACTGGTCGTATGTACTACCACCCTCCTCCCCCCTCCTCCGGCAACAACCACCACCAGCAGCAGCGGCTGCTCCGCCGCTTCGACAACGACGCCGCCGGCGGAAGAAGCAGCACCGAGGGGGATCAAGAATCAAAGAGCGAGTCTTTCATTAGCAGCTCTGATATTGCTTCCGTGTTTTTTGTTTATTCTTTGGTGTAAAAAATACAAGATCATCATCATACACACATACAAGATCATATGAGAATTACTTGTACATATAATTTTTATTACTTTGTTGGATTTGTTGCTTTGTATTTTATTTATTTATTTATTATTTTAGGTATTTAGTTGTGGGGTTGTGATATATATACAAAACAATAAGTGTGATAAATGAGCACTATTTGCTACTGCAATTTTGTTATGTTAACAAGTAGTACAAAGAGTAAGATTTGAGATTGTAAAGCGTGTAATTCTTGTTTCTGCCAATTCATCTGTGTACATGAATAAGAGACGGCCGTTTTTTTTCTATCCGTTTGAAAATGTTTTTCTTCGATCCATTGTGTACTTCTCTCTCTCTCTATCTCTCTCTCTCTCTCTCTGTACGACCGCATGAATCCTTCTTGTCTCCTTTCAACGATACTTCCGTTGATGATGACGATGGATGATTGTACCTAAATTGTCTTCTCCTTTGGAGACCATTCTTCTTCATCTATCTATATATCGTGAGTTTCTAAGCGAGAGAGTTAAGAAGTGAGAGAAATACACATGCAATCTGAATCTTAACCTAATTTCCTGATCTCTATTCTTCGATGAGCGAGTAAATCTACTTCTAAGGGTCAGAAATAGGACACTTCCAAGGTTGTGTATTGGGTGAGAGAGTTGGTCAAGATCTGAATGATTTTGTTCAGTGCTTTTTAATGTGCTCTGTGCTCAACTGCCGGTGCAACTGTCAGTGGTTATCTGGACGAGAAACGTGACATGGGAAATTGAGCTTCTCTATTGGTTTGTTTATTTTGTTCTTAGATAATCTGTTATAAGTTATAACCGAATACCATTCCCATAAGTAACCTTTATAATAGATTATGTTTTACGTAATTTTTTCTGTTTGTCTTCAAGTTCAAATGGGTGCCCACCAGTGGTATCAGAGCCTGCTGTCATCGCTGAATTCAGTACTTGTATACATTACCATGCAGAACAATAATCCAAGTTTATATGGTCGAGTTAGTATGTTCTCCTATAATCGAGTCTTAGTTGACCAACATAGAATTGGTCAAAATCGGAATAAATGCAAAAGTCTCGCTCTTATGACGACCCCTTCACAATGGGAAATGTATGCTAAACAAGAAATCCAGAAAAAAAAAAAGAATCAGAAACTGAGTATTCATTCACAAGGGTCTTACAACAGTCTTCTCTTGCTAAAAACTGAAATAAAAATCAATTATCCCGATATTAATATTTTGACAAGATTACGATAAAGCGTTTTCTGGATAGGGATTTTCATGTCTTAGAGCTTCATGTGGCCAAAACATCCTCTCAATGAGCCATAAAGAGGTCGAGATCTTCGAAAACTGAAGATGTCTTCTATTTGAACAAATTCAGTTTCGGCAGTTAGGGATTTGTCTGCTTCGAACTCTGAAGAATGTGCACTCCCATATACACGAACGCTCATACTTTTCTTGCCAGGAGCACCACATTGGATATGCTCGTTAAAGAAATCTATCAGCTCTTGTTGAGTTAGTTGCTTCAGTGCTGCAACCTGTTTTCATCAAGTAATAATAGTAAAATTATGAATTCTGAATTTATTAGCTATTTTACAAATCTTGTATTATGTTTGGATAGAACGGTTTAGATTCGAAGGGATGTATTGGTAAAATGATTTCAGTAAATAGAAGGCATATTTCATACAAACTCAACAGCCTTTTGTTATTTGAATTCAATATACTAGGATTGAAAGTCAACAACGAAAAGGCAACGGCCGGTATTTTTCATGACAATGGATAGCGACTATAGATTTTTTTTCATCAGTATAAATTAATCGACATACCTCACATTCCCTCCTGTCAAATTTCAGGGTCCCGTCAGATATTTCTCGCCAATAAAACCCTGATTCTTCTCGTAAATTCTTGTGCTTCTCAAGCTTCATTTCAATAAGGGTATTAACATTGCTCTGCGTCAATGCAAGGAAACTGTATGTTAGCAACCATGTGTTCCTAACAAGTCATTTTATAAAGACTGGCAACTCCAATTCCATTACAAAATAAATAAAAAATGTAATAAATCATTTCATAATTTTCAGTAAAATACCAAATAGAAAATTCATATATCTGCTCGAAGGAAATCTAGAATAAAAGCAATTGAGCGTGTCTAATATATGATTCCTTAAGGTGCAAGCTGATAAGTTTATATCATATACCAACACATTTTCGCATTTTCAACCTTAAATGGACTGATTTGACTGAACGTGTTCTCACATGTTTGACATTATACAGAAATCATTAAAAAGAGTTAATTGCTTAACCTTAAATTCATCACTGGACATTTCGTACAGCTTAATTTCAAACATCTTGAGAAATGACTCAACTCTCAAATCAATTTGCCCGGGACCCTGTCAAGCACAACAAAGAGAGGCAGATAAGTAGAAGATATTATAATATGTGCATAATGACTTAGATGGGCATACAGTATCTGCAGACACTATTTACATCATTTATGCGATTTATACCTTCACATTTGATTGGATAATGAATTGCACACCACGGATGCCGGAGTCGTTCCTACAGGAAATCAATTCTCCAAACAAAAAACGTGAGCACGAGTTATGACATGAAAATGACGTACATAATGGAAGAGGCTTAAAACTTTTGTACCTCTGCATGAGTACAGTAATGTAACCAAGTTGCTCAACTGATCTAAGCTGGTGAAAAGCAGGTTGCTTCGCTATCAGAGCAAAAAGTTGAAGTTTAACATTCAACTTGAAATCATCCTGGTGCACCTGCATATTTTAATAGCAGTTATATTTAAAATCCCATACCCAAGTATGAAAAATGATTAAATCGAAAGGCAAGATAATACATGGAATATGTTCTGAGAAAGAAGTCCCAACTGTAAGTTATGAATTAAATCGAAAGCAATTAAATGATGTATATTCAAACAGATACCGAGGCTTGAGTAAAAGCAAAGATGGGTACTTGCTGAAAATCTAGAAATAATTTCTGCTCTCAATTGACAAAATTTCCACGACCTATCTCCAAGTTACCGTTTACCTGAATGTAATGTACAAGGGCAGAATTTTCATCACTAGGATTTAGGCCTTCTGCACTGTAGACGTAATTTATTCCCCGTTCAAGCTTAACAATTCTATTTGTCATGAACTGAGACGCAAACATAGCCTGAGATACGGGATTAGGAGCCTTAAAGAACACGTCCTCAATATGCTGGATAATGGACTCTGCTTCCTTTGGCTCAAGATTTCCTACATGTTAAACAAAGAAATGTGTGAATAGATAAGTAAGACAGCCAAAGTTTCGGTAGAATTACTAAAAAAGATCCATGAACAACAGGAGAATTTAAAACCTGCTACATAGCATTCCAAGAAGGTTCTTGATAGCATTAATGGATAAAACTTAGCAAGGTTCTCCACATCAAGATGGGGAAGAATTTCCAGTTCATCGGTCCAGGGCCATGTTTGGTCTTGTAGTACTAATGAGCAGTTATACATAGCTTGCTGATACGGCTGTTGGAACTTCAAATTCTGATATTCTTTTGTGACCAATTCCTGTGTATATGATAAAAAAAAATAAAAAAAATGCATAGTGTTTATTGGCTGGGTAGAAAAACAACAAAACCAAGACACTCCAAGGAAAAAAAAATGCAAGAAAAATGACAGAAGTACTAATTATAACAATTCTGAGGTTTTATGTCTTCCGTAAAATAGTTATGCACACACTGTATTTCATAAACAAAAAGGAGAAATGTTTAACATTTCTGAAAATATATCTGTCAAGACAATGAAAGAGATATGGAGTGGAAAGACACTCATTTGTTATTTGCTACGATAATTGATAGGACAATCTTGCTATGGTGGTAAAGAGATGAAGTAGATCATAACGAACTGAGCTATCCACGCAAGCATAATACGATAAATGTGTACCTTAATGACAGCAAACCTTTCAGGTTTTACTTCAAACTTAGCAATCTGCTGTATTACCGTCTCCAATAAGATCTTTAGTTTGTGATTATATCCTACGACAGTGACCTGTACGGGGAGGTAAAGAGACCATGAATAAGAATTACGACCAAGCACAATGGATTACAAATAGCAATGCAATAGGGTTTTGAAAACCAGTTGATGAAAGAGAGTAACAGAGTTTGTTTGTGGAAAGAGTTCATATAACTGATACAGAAATAAAGAGAAGCAGCCATTTGAAGAAGGTGGATATTTCTGATATGCATTTAATAGTTTATATAAAAGAAAACGGAAGCATGATGTTAGATTTTGCAACAGTGGACAGAAATTCCAATTTTTCTTTAACATAGTAGAAGCACAATCGAAAATCAAATTTCATGCCCATAAACCTTAACCACAAAATCAAAGAAAGCAGACCAATGTGTCCAAATAGATCAACTTTGGAAACATTTCCCTCAAAACATTCTATACCTAAATCATGGATGCATATTGAGAAGATCGAGCTTTCTTGTATCTAAATGTCGTATTTTAGACAGGTGTTTCGATTCCATTTTGTGGCCTGGACTCGATAACAATATAATGTTTAAAAAAAAAATCTATGAAGTGCTCGACTTATTTTAAATGCAATAAACTCCCGAGAGAGATACAGATATTTAAGACGTCGAAAGTGCCACCAAGAGAATATACTTCAAAATATAGACACAACTAAGTACCTGAAATCCAAAGTCGGTGTTGGTAATCCCATAATAAAGACCAGCAATCTGTGCATCATATGCTGAAATATGCCACAAGAAAGAGAAAAGGGATTTTTTTTTTTACTGATTAAATTGGGCAAAAGGTGAAAGCTTAAGGTGCATAACGAAATGCACTATGTAACTTAGATGTAAAGGCTAATCTAGTGTTGTGGTTTTTAAAACATAAGAAAATTACCATATTCATTTAAGTAGTCCATTAACAAACGCGTAAATATTTCAGTAAGAACTTCTGATTCAGGGGAACTTCCAGAAAAGGGACAGTTGAAATCTATCTTAACAAATGCTTTAGGAGTCGAAAATGCTGTATCTGGCTTGTACCACAACCTCGAGTATGGCGTTTTCCTCAACAAAACTGGTAACTTTATCTGTTCCAAAGGTCACACCACAAACAAAAAGATATAGTGAGCGCCAAATAACCAAAGATTAGATCACATTAGTTGAACTTGTAACACTAACTTACTGGCTCTGAAACAGTCTTAAGGGACAGGTCTGTAGGAATAAACACATTAGGAACAGGTAGATGCAGATTTTCTTTTGGAGCCTTTTCAATCCATTGCTGCAAGTCAGTAAACACATCAGAATATCCCAAGTCAATTATTCTAGTGAGATTTAAATTGTGAGAAAAAGAAAGCTCTCATAAGCCAACCTGAATTGTGGAGCCAGCTAATCGCTCTACAGAATATGCTGTTCCATACCAAGGTTCTGTTGAATCTGTAAGTCCTTCAAACTTTGTTGACTCCCAAAATATTCTGCAAGACACAAATTACGAAACAAAACAAGCCAATGATGTCAAGAGGCAAGATATATTTTACTACTATTGGACATCAAATAATTGAATGTGCAAACTCCAAATTTTGGTCCGAACTTGAAGCAAACAGAGAGAAGAAAACAATGGATAAAGACAGCAATTTAAACAAGAGATTATATGAGCTGAATATGATCATCTATAGGTTACCAATTCTATTAACACAAGGCAAAATGATATTGATACTAGTTACAAGTAAGAATGATGGAATCTCCACGAATCTGTGTGAAACTGACCTCACATTATATGGACTTAGCTCTTCCAGTGCAGACTGAATAATTTTAGGGTTAAACTTTGAAGGCAAAGATGATGCCACCAGCCAATCTCTTGGAGGATAAAACTGCACAATATTTTACAAAAATGATCAAGAAATTATAAGAGAAGAAAATCATGGTATAAATATTCAATGGTTCAAAGAAAATGAATATAGAGAATTCAGAGAAACATAACCTCACATAACCAAAAGACCTTAGAACATGCATGAATGGAAGCATGTTTGCAAAATCAAACACGATAATTTCTAAATCATTTCTTTCAATTACATGAGAGCTGTCAGATTATAGATTTCACAGAAAATAAATGAGAATGAGCAGAGAGATGAAACAAGCATCAGACACAAAAAAATTTCATGCGTAGGTCGTTGCATATTCCAGTATTGGACACACAATTTTGAAATCGCTTTATTCCATTAACCAGATATTTTTAGGATTAATGGATTATTGATTATTAATAAAAAGGGAAGGGGGGGGGGGGGGGTTGAATGCAGAATATGGAAATATGCAAAAGTATATGTTTCATAAACTGGTTAAACTGGAAAATCAATATGCTATTCCAGCATCACAATAGTTAGTATATTTTGCAAAGATCTATAAACCAACTGGTGGTCCTGTAATCACGTGCACACATTGTGAACCTACTGTCCAAGCAAAATGATGATAGAACTAGTTACCTGCATATGAAATGCAACATTAACCACATAATCAATGGGACGGATCTTGTCTTGATAATGGAAGGAAGTCTCACAAATAGCTGCAAGCTTCATAGATAAATTAAGATAAAAGAAGTTACATGTCTGAGGAACAATCCAGATGTAAATCTTAAAGCAAACATGCAATACAAAAAAACAGCATGGAGGTGTAGCAGTTAATAAACGGAGCTCTCAAATGCGTTAAAAGTCGAAATTTATATTGCATAGGATGCCAGAAGCAAAAAATAATGGAAGCCTTCCAACAGAGAACAGAGCAGTTAAGTGTAAAGCGTGGGGGCCTGCTTTTCAAATGAAAATGAGGTTCATATCCAGTTAATTAACTGACTCAATTTTTACTGATACGCCTGAGATTCCAGTTCTCAGAAAGTGAGTAGGGATTAAATCGATAAAAAGTAATGAAACAGACCAACATAAGCTCACCGTGAGGAGACCAAATTTTACGGGGCACTGATTAGATTAAAAAACAGTTGAACACAGATACTGCCACAAAACGAGGTGGTCAAAACGTTTTTGACCACATCGAGAGGAGCTAAAAAAAATTGCAGGGTACACTTCTGGCATGAGCATATTTAATGAGTTTCAACTTTCAAGTTCACAAATTACAAACAAACATATAAAAATATGAAATGCCACCAAAAGAACTGCATGCATTTTGGCTTTCATTTACTTTCGGAACTTAGGGATATTTACCGCATGTCGTCATTGGTTCATTCAGAATCTTAAAGCTATGAAATTGCATGACCTGGGCCAAGTACTGGCTTTTCTACTTTTCTATTCTAACAGATAACATCATCAAGCAGGTAAGAGTCTCATATACTACATGTTTAAGTGCCAAAAAGTATGAACAGTTTTACCTCATCAAATATCCATTGGCTGGGACCAGATTGTTGCAGAAGTTGAATATATTTGAATAATAGTGCCACAATATCCTCAAAATGATCTAAGGTTGTCATAAAAGAACACGAGAAGATAAATAACATAAAATATTTATTTATTCCCAACCCTTCCCCAAGAGTGCGTAATACTACCAAAAAATGAGGAAACAAATTATGAAATTATCCATCACTTGCCTCCGGCCTCCTACCTAGAAAGTGAAAGCAAAAGCAAAGGCCAATGTACTTACCATGGCCAGCATCCGTCAGATCAATAACCACCTTAAAAAATGCAAATTCACAAGTCCAATCTGATTCGCCAGCAGACAAGCTTGTAGCCCAACCTGAATGTTTTCATATACATGATTAGGATTCGGCAATACTTACAAGTGTGTTCTTTCTAAAGAACTGATAACAATTTGATAACAACCACTGCATATGTTACTAATCTGCTCACAAACACAGTATGATACTTGAATGTAAAAAATGATATGATTTGACCATTTAAAACATTAAGATGCCACTAAATAAGCAGGGGAGTACTCTCAACTAAAACAAATCGTCAAGAATTTCCTGTTGAGGAAAAATAAGCAAGGAAATTCCGTTCTGTTAGTTTGCCTTCTTCAACAATAAGCAAAAACGTGCAATACCAATTAAATTCACAGTTCATATTTCTACCAGCTTATTAGGGAGGAGGGAGCTGGGATTTTGACATGGAAAGGAAATTAACACCCACCCAACTTTTTCAAGATGAAAAACAAAGATCCTTCTCCTTCATGGCCAATCAAATGACCCAGATACCTGCTTGGCCCTTCCTCGTAATGACGAATTCCAGGAGTTACAGGCCATACAAATCTCAACTTGTGACCTTGTTTAATTGGGACAGCTTTCACGAGAATCTGAATGAAAATATACAAAGTCAAAAAGTAATCTCAAATTGGAAACTTCGGAGAATTACTGTACTAAGTCAAATTTGTTTTAGGGCTTCACATTCATGCGTACATGAAAAATGCATTGCAAAAATGCTAACATCCTCACTTTAGTAGTAATGAAAATGGGGATAATGTTTCATTAGGCAGCATAACTTCATACACAATAATAGCAAAACTTGTTTTTTCAATATAAAATAAAATAAAGAGATCATAACAGGTCAGCATCATCAATATCTTTGAAAAAGGTGAGCCCCAGACGACTAAGCAACACCAACCACACAATGACAAATGAAACATACAAGTAACTTGTATCTAAGAAGTTGTTTTTTCCCAATTATTTTCCAATTATAGAAATAACTTAAACTTCAAGAGAAGTTATTCTTTCGTGCATTCATCCTGAGGAAACAAAGAAAAAGACCCTGAACTTGCTATGTTAATTCAAATAATACAACTCCCCTGATGCTACCTGAAGACTTTCTGAATCACAAGGCTGGCCAGTAAAACTGATAGAACTCCGATCTGTATTTCGGATTTCCTGGAATTTGCTTCGCACCATGTTTTCAGATTTTTCGAGGCTGTCTGAACAAATACAAATTTGTAAATTGATATAGATTACACGCCAAAGACCACATAAACCAAGTAGTAACATTTATTTATTACCTTTACTATACACTACAAGATGCATGAGGTTGGCTGAGTAATTTTCGTTATAAAACCTCAGAAGCTCCTGTCTTGTATCCAACCCTCTTTCTTTTGGTCGGACATCCAAGGTATCCCAATTCCCTGCACATACATTTAAGAAATCACAAGGAATAAAAGGCAAAATGTTCTCTAGACATGACCACCAATATGGCTAATTAATCCAGACCAGAAAAAAATAGGATGCCCTTAATGACCATTATAGAAGCTGAGTGTTATGAAAGAACAGAATTAGCAATGATGAGGTTTAAAAGCTAAAGCAAGAGTGGCTTGTGAAGGTATTCAGAAACAATAAATTTATTTTGGCTAATCAGGGCAAGGGAGTTTAGTAATGAAAATAAAAGTAACCTGTACTGAACTTGTGGAAGGGATGATCTTTCACACTTAAATGTTTCTGAAGCTGCACATAATCAAATAAACAAATAATCGATTAGTTCTCTCCCCCGTGAACAAATTAAATGGAAACTGAACAACATATCCTTGACAGAGATAAGACCGAATCAGGAATCTGTGGAAAGCAATTTCAGAAGGAATTTTCCATTCAACTACAAGAGATAAATCTATAGTTTCCATCATCATTTGATTAATGGAAGAACGTAAAACATAAAGGGCCGAAAGCAGCTAGTAAATCAAAAGAACCTGATTCATTCTCCAAACATCAGCCAGTAAATTCTTTTGATTTTCTGAAAAACAATGAAAACAAGGGAACAGGTGAAGTCATCAAAAGCAAAAAAAATAGGAGGATTCACAATCTGCAAGACAAAAGTCTGACCAGAATCAACAGCTTTAATCTCCCTCGTGGTAGCATCAGCCGACATCAGTGGCTTGATGAAAAACTGAGCAAATCTGAATATTCAACCACATTAAACCATCCATTCAAGCAAATATTTAAGAGACGGCCAAAAAACTTTGCAGGTGATAAAGAAATTTACCTATCCAAGGCCTCTTCAAAGCAGTCAGGGTTAACATCAAAGTAGTAGTTGGTGTGTTCAGATGCCGTGAAAGCATTTGTACTGCCTCCATGCTAACAGAAGACATAAATTATAGAGATAGATCTTGTTTAGGCTACTAGCCACATTGAAAACCACAAAGCATACAAAAAGAACAAGCTGAGGAAGTACCTCAGTGATGTACTTCGAGTAACTGTCCTCCAGTGGATACTTTTCACTTGCATAAAAGAGCATGTGTTCTGTTTATAACCACATTATAGTGAGGAAGAAGCCCAGCAAACATTACTTAGGAAATATGTGTATAAAGAAGAATTGAAGTAATTTTACAGATGAAGTAAGACAGCAAGAATCAATTATTATTTAAGAAATTAACATCAACATTTCTATACATCCAAGTATCTTTATCATTTGTTCTATCAACACGGAAATAAATTCAAATCCTCAGCCACCACTTAATCCAGTCAAAATTTTATTTAATAACACCGGCCCAATAAAAAAATTGAACGTTTATATAAGTACCAATCAAGATTGATCTTAATCTATGTGATGCATAGAAAGATACATCCTTCCACATTTTACTTTTGGGAAATAAATTTCAATCCAAACATAAAAGCAGCTTAAGTGAATCAACTATTTGTCCGAAGCACGTGCACAGAAGAATGAACCCGCAATATTTGATTTTCCTTATGCACCCAAATTACTCAACAATTTTCAATACAGCACTTCAACATTCAAAATTCAGGCAATTGTCATCCTTAAGTAATTGAAAGGATCGATATCAAAGTATGTCACCAAATAGATTAAATAAATGAGAAGTAAACAAAGCCACATTCTTATCACCAATAATGCGTACAAGGCCTTCAAGTCGTACTTACAGAATTCAATCAATTAAAACAAAAAATCAAAAGGTATTCAATTCAATTGAGGAGAAGAATTGAAACCTACAGATATTTCCCAAAAAAAATAAAACTAACCCTAAAATAATAAAATTAATTCCAAATTCAATCATTCTCACCAAGGAAATGCGCGAGGCCTTCCAGTCCGTCAGGATCACTAAAAGAACCTACGCGAACATCCATTGAAGTAGAACACTGCAACAATAACACATCCAAACCAAATTATTCAAAAACAAAAAACAAAAATACTTAAAAAAAAAATCAAATAAATTACCAATTGACAAATTCAACGGTGAATACATACTTTATCAGTTTCGGGATCGCTGATGAGAAGAACTTGAAGATTGTTCGGCAGTACTATCCTTCGGTACTCTCTTTTATCATTCCGCGGTTTGATAATCTCCGCTTCCTTTGCTATAGCTTCTACAGCCATTTCTTCTTCTTCTTCTTCTGGTGTTTGCAAATGGAGCGGATTACATATAATCAAACGCAGAGATATTGATGTGTGTGAATGAGTGTGTGTTTGTGTGTGTGTGTGGAAATTGACTTGTTGCAATCAGAGGGATGACTCGGTGGATTTTATATGGAAAGGAAAAATAAGTGTTGGATTGTGTGCATAATATGTTGTACCTTTGATTCGGTTATTTTTTTAATGGGTAAATTACGAAAACCCCCCTTAACTTAAGCTAAATTACGAAATACACCATGACCTATCCATAATTACTAAAATTCACCCAATGTTTGTCTCTGGCTTACACCGACCTCCTTGTGGTGTGATTTTTCACATAATATTTTGAGTCGAGGGATTATTCCTGAAAAAAATATCGATTCTACCCCTGAAAACGTGGTATTTATTTCTGTTACTTTTTAAAAATAAAAATTAATCTTAAGGGGTTACACATAATTTTTGTTTTTCTTAAAGCCCACGTTCACAATTTTTTTGAGTATTACTATTATCCCTATGGCGGTCATTTTTGTCTTCAATTAGGAAAAAGTGCACCGATTTGTATATTTTGAAATAGGACAGTCTCGTTTTTGTATTTTGAGGGGGGAAAGTGCGAAAAAGGATTCTTTTGAGGGAGCGAAGTGCAATTTGCTCTTTCTAAAATAATTAGAAATATAAACTACACTTGGGCTTGCCCAATTAAGGATTTACTTACTTCCAAGCCCAATTACTTGGCCACGTTTATATAAACTAAATAAAAGCCCAATAATTAAAAATTATTTAAATTAAAGAGTAAAATGAATTCTTTTTAAAAACAAAATTCATAAATCCAGCTAGGACTAGTACAGGTGTACAACCGGAAAATGAAGTTCAAACGATCTCCGGCGAAAAGTTTCCGGTGATTGATTGACCGTTGCAGAATTCGAAATTTTCCGATTTTCACGGAGGGGAAGCGGTGGTGGATTCGTTCGAACAAATTGTTCGGCAAGTCGGGCAAGAAGAATGCGAGACCAGCCATTTCTGAATGCACTGGAGGTGGAAGCCATGGCTGCACTTCTCCAGAACCCTAATTCTCTCCCCGGCGGCGAACTCCGACAGGCAGATTATGCACTCCGTCTCCGCACCGCTCAGCTTCGTCTCCTCCGAGTAAATCACCCCGGGAATTTCCGCCGCCTCCTCCGCGGCGGCGCCGCCGTGCTCCTCCTTCCGGTTGCGGCGGCGCCGCCTGCTGCAGTCGCGTATGAGGTACCGGACGGCGGCGTTGAGCGCCAGGGCGCAGATCAGCGCGCAGAAGAGGACGGCGACGATGATGGCGGTGTTCGCCTTGAAGTCCTTGGCGCTGGTGTACGGCCACCAGGGGCACTTCTGTGCGTTGCAGTCTGCCGCTGCTAACGGCGGCGGCGCCGCCGCGGAAGCTGGTGGGGATAGATGGATGTTGAACTCGGCCGTCGCCACTGCTACACCTGCTCGTAAAGAAGGTATTTTTCTCATTTTTTTGTACTTTAATTTTTATTTATTTATTTTTTAATTGATTGAATCTGAAAAATAAAAGAATTTATGGAGAATGAGAATTTTAGAAGAAAGTAGAGTGAGAGAAGGGGTTGAGTGAAGCAGAAGAGAGTGAGGGATAAAGAAGAATGGCACAATCAAATAATTACAAAATAATTAAAAGAGACGTATGCAAAATAAAATGTATTAGTAACAATATAGGTGGCTGCTGCAGAGAGTGCTATATATATATATATATGTTGTGTGTGTGGGGTTGTGTGTGAGAGAGAGAGAGAGAGAGAGAGAGAGAGAGAGAGAGAGAGATGGTGTCTTGTAGCAGAATTTGATGGTTTTTTTTGGCATTGGGAAAATTGAAAGGCTTAGTAAATTCTAGTCATGAAAGTGAGTTGGTAATTTTAATACTCCACGTTGTCAAATATTATCTCGTCGATTGACACGTGGCACTTCAATACTTAAGGATGGTCGACCTAAGTAGAGTGCAAGTTTATCCAGTACAGCTATACGATTGACTTCAGATTATTTCATTAGAAAAATAAATAAAAAGAAATTCTAAACTAAAATAATAAATGTTTTGATTATATTCCATGAAATCTAGGAATTGGTACAAGAAAGTGTAGTAGACATAAATAAATAAATAAAAAACCAGACATCGACTCAACCTAGGAAACTCCGGAATGCTGCTGCTACTTCACTGTACACTATTTGAGCAGCATAAATTATAAGTGGAACCCCATCATCACTAAAGTTTTTCGATTTTAATGGTACTTATGCCTCCGACCTGTTCCTAATTAATTGTCGTCTTTACAGTTTTGCACGAGTATTAAGAATATTAATAAATGTGTCTTAACTTTAGAAACAAAATATATCTAAATTAAAAAGACTAAAATAACCTTGATCATTCTGGTAAGAGATAATTAATATTTTGAGTTCAATTAATAACGTTAAAACAAAAAAGAAATATGTTATATATAATATAATAATTTGGTTGATGCATGCGGTTGTTGGCAATCCATAGACACATGAAAGAAGAAAAATGGGAGGACGTGTACAAATTCTTACAAGACGAAAATCGAGGAAGCTACAAACAGAGCTGTCCATTTCATATATTTTGGCCCGCAAGTTAATGTAACCAATTTGCAGTACTGCAGTTGCAGTTGCAGCCATAGATTTACAATTACATCTAGAGAGAGAGAGAGTAGAGAGATGTGAAGAATTGGAGTTTAATAATAATTAAATTAAGGTACCCTACCCTACTAAATCCCAAAACAGACTGTCTGTTACAGCCCGCAATGTGTTTCAATTGCTAGGTGATGAAAACTTGTGAACTCTTCTTGTCTCTTCTAGTAGACCCCACTATTCTCTCATTCAATTAACGCCACACTTTACTCTCTCTCTAGATTTCTTTCTCTCTCTCTCTCTCTCTCTCTCTCTCTCTCTCTCTAGATATCTCTTCATATCATATCATATCAGATATGAGATACGAGTCCGTCCAAAATGGAGGTGCTGTTACAATCCCAAATAATTAATTCATTAAATAATACTTGCAAAAATTGATGCATCGATCGATCTCAATATTAATTCAGACAAACAAGTATATCTAACAGAATTAATTGATCAGAGGAGACCATATCATATATATTATATATATGTTTATTACATAAAAAAGTGCCTGCCCTGGAGGAAAGGCAACTCAAGTATATGTTTACTACTACTGTACATATATTAGCAAAAAAAAAACCCTATTATTCAATTTTATTAGTATATTAGCAAAAAAAAAACCCTATTATTCAATTTTATTAGTAAACTACCCCTAAATACACACCATTTATAGGTGGCTATGTGCTAAAAAAATGCATTATACGGTTGCTAATTTTTAGCAATTCGGCATAACACATGGGTACTAAATGCAATAAACACTATTTTTCAAAAAAAAAAAAGGTTACATTGTTATTACCATTTTTATCTAACCTTAATATATATATATTTTTTTTCCGACATTGTTTAACAGAGTATGTATATACAATGCAAGTGACATCACCGGTCGATGAATTTAGTGACAGGGTCATTTTGCTCAAGATACTCACGAGCCAGGCACTTAGGCCCCAGTGTACGAGTTTTTCGGCGAAGGGGCTGATCTGGTGAGGTTGGTCCATGGTGCACCCTCGAGCAAATTCTTGATGATCGGCTAAGCACCATTTCTTTTTGCTTGGAGAAAAAAACAAGTGTGTAACAATGGAGTTGGTAGTAAGAGATGGATTATCATTGCAACAAGAACTCATTATAGTGCACTTATTACAAACATTTCCAAATAATAAGGAAAAACATTAACAAAAAATTATTTAAATACAAATAAATAAAGATTGTCCAAACAAGGGTCTAAACTAGCACTACAAAACCTCAACTCTTGCTAATTAAAAAAAAAAAAAACTTTTCGATTATGCCCCCTTCGGTGCACCGCCATGTGTCGTACACGAAAGAAAAGAAAAACGAAAAAAAATTGAAATAATAGAAAGAATTTAATTTCAAGAATGTGCAAAAAAATTCAGCCAAAAAACTATGTGAATGTGGCTTTTTAATTTATCTTGTGGCAAATGCGTATTATATATACTATGACGATATTCTAATCGTGAGATTTTGCTTGCTTACAGTGAAATGCGATACCCCGATATTTTTTTGCCGTACGTACTTATCAACATCCAGCAGCTTTGAGAAAGTTATCGTACGGACTCGAAGATGGCAGTCTGAACGAGCTAGGATAATTCTGTACTTCAGCGGCACACGGTAATCCGGTGTTACTCGCTTGTCTAATCGCAACTCCATGTACTTTCTGGTCCGCAAATGAATTTCCACTCTGTAGATCATGCAAATTACGATTAACCCCTTTTTTCGAGTTTTCAAATTTTTTTTTTGGATTTATGTTTTTACCTTATGTGAGCTATTGTCGTGCGACACCATTTGCTTGTTGTTGACTTCAATTGAAGATACGGTCAACAAATTCCCTTGTCTATTTTGCGCGTTGACCAAATACGACATTTTTTGTTGCTTCCCCATTAAAAGCGTTTCGCAATGATTGGCCATTTCTTTGTAAGAAGCATCGGGGGCGGTGCTAACCGACATTCTTCCTACGTTGTGAGCTGTCTCCAAAACCTGTCCGAAAAAAAATATATAATATATGAAATTTATTGCATGAATTTTTTTTACTTATAAGTACGAAAAAAAATACTTACGGATTGTAGAAGTTGATCGACGCTTAGGAAATTCGGATTTTCAATGGTTAATTGTGAATTATGTTGGCTATTTCCTACAGAATCTGGAAAGGAATCATCGTCTCCTACGAACATCGAGACAGCCTG